GACGCAGGGGCTCCATGCCTCACCCAGCCTGCTGCTCCCCAGCCTCGGCTTTTGGGCAGCACCAAGATACAAATAAAGATTCTGAACCTGAGTTCTTTGGGCCAGGGCTCATTCCCTTTCTCTTTTATTCTTGTCTTTCCTTCCACCAACTGTGTCCTTGGCTCCCTCCCTCCCTGCCTTGGTCCCTCCATCTTTCCTGCACAGCAAAATGGGGACTTCTCCATGAGCTGATTCAGCCCACTTACTTGGCAGAAAGCTTCCTTTTGTACAGCAGTTTCTCTGCCCTGTCACTCAGGAAGGTGTGAGTGAGAGTTGTGGGAGCAAAACTTACTCAGCATGGCAATGGGCTACCGAATCTATTCCCCACAACTCTCAATCTCGGCCTAAAGTAAACTTTGTGGTAACTGCAGAGCTGCAGGACCGCAACCGCCCCATTTCTACCCTGCAGGGCTAGAAGAGGAGGACGGTCTCCCCCTCATGCTGGCTCATCTGTAAACTTGAGCAGAGAGCTGGGATCGATTTGCCCTTAAAATGAATCAGTCCAAACATGTAACTTACACAACTAGTTTGACTCACAGAATTTACTCAGTAACTCAAAACACAATTTTTCCCCCCCCCCTTTTTTTTTTTTTTTTAAGGCCCACACACAGTATCTCTAGAACTGTGTAGCTAAACACACATATATGTGTGTGTGTGTGTATGTGATGTATATGCAACAGATACATTAAAAGCTTGATTTTTACAGAGTTTTAGAAAATATCTTAAAAGGGAGCATTTTCCTATCCAAGGGAAAAAAAGCCCTCCCCCATCATATTTCCCTTTGCAAAATACCCAAACTGAGAGGAAATTTGAATACTTCTTTTGTTCTAGTGTTAAGTAGAGCTTGTTTTTCAGTTGCCCACTTGTTAAATACCACCCCACCCTTTAGCTCCTGGAATGCTGCTGCGCTGCCAGGTAACAGCAGAGCTCTTGTTTCAGAAAGACAAAGCCTGGGGCCGGGGCCTTCTGCATCCTAGGTCACCCATCACCCTGGGCTCCAGCCTGCAGCTGCCGCCAGGTCTGTCCCAGCCAGACCGTCAAAGACCCGAACGTTACAAAAGCAGCATTTTTGGCTTCCAAAATAGAAAGGAGCTTGTATTCCTCTGCAAAGATTTCTCTGCCTGAGCTACAGGTTGTTACGATATAGTCTAAAAGTAGGCCTGCATTGCTTCGTTCATATCACAATGCTCCGTTTGCAGGAGAAAAGTTATAAGCTGAATTAGAACAAAAATGCAGAGTGAGTCCTAAAAAAATAGTATTTAAAAAAAAAAACAGAAAAACAGTAATAAGAACAGATCTTACTTAAGAAAAAAAAAATCTCTGCTACCTCAAAAAATGCAAAATGAGAGGGTAAATTGTTACTGTTTTATTTTTCAACTCTCTGCTGTGTCCAGTAAACACCTAGTTGCAAACACAGTGGTTTTCTACATTGGTAGCATCGTTAAGTCATCAGTTTGCTCTCACTTACCAGAGAAAATTAAATCATTTACTGAACCTAAAGCTGGTGCTCAGGACCCGAGATCCCCCCTGACAGCAGTGGGTTTGCAGGTGGAGCCACAAAAGGAAATAAACAGAAAAGCCTGCATGCAGCTGTGGCTTTCCTCTTTCTCACACTCCAGCTCTCAACACAAAAAATGCAATAAAGTGATCTCTGTTTCGGACCGCTACTCTCTGGCATGGAGCTGGCGCAGCTCAGGGTGCCGCCGGCTTCAGAAGGGCACGGACAAACCCGGCTGTGCCGGGGAGTGACTTCCCAGCGCGGTGCAGCTGCTGGAACGTGGGGGTTCCTGCAACTCACTGCCCTCACCCGGCAGCGCCCAGCTCAGGCAGCAGCTCCAGCAGTCACAGTGATCAATCCCCAGCACAGACTGATTGCTCTTGGGAAAAGGCAGTAGACCATGAGCCGCTTGCAGACCATGGCTCAGTTCTTCCCACATGCCGGCGCCCACAGGAGCGCTGTGAAGTGCCTGGGCCAGGAAGGGGGGTCCAAATCCCCACTGTCTCGAGCCACAGAAAGCTCCACTCAGCGCTACAGATGCCCCTATTCAGTTGAGCATGAGCTGCTATGGCTTTGGCTCATGCTTTGCATCAGCACGACCTCTCCAGCTTGACTTGGGAAAGCTTTTAAATTCTGTACCACACGTGGAAAGAACGTGAGTTCTTCTCTCAAGCCTACACAATTCCACGCCTGAGACGTGCATGCTTTCAGAAAGATGCTTACAGATCTTTTTAAGATAAATACTTCTGATAGCCTGGAGCAACACAGGTCAAAACATGCAAATTCCTCCCAGCTGTCTTCTAGCAATTACACTGTCTGCTACTGCATAGCAACACACTAGTTCAATGTGAATCACCAAAAACTCTTCAGTTTCCTACTTTACCTTACTGAAAAAACAGGTCCCAGTCCTTCCCTGAGCTAATGAGCTAGCAAGTACACCCAGCTAAATAACATTTTGCAAGAGGACAGCCACACACAATCACTAATCTGCCAACACTTGCAGTCATTTGTTCCTACAAGCAGAGCACATGGCTGAGATGGGAAAGTGTCTGCGTGTGGAAGCAGACAGAAACACGAGCAGCTTCCTGAGCCGGCGAGCCCAAAGTTGCTACACGAGGTGCCCAACTCGGACCCTTCACTTCCTGCTGCCAAAAAGGTTATCCTGCCTCTCTGCCAGCGCCGGCACACAGGGCACTCTCTGAACTGGTTCAGCTCACTAATCAAGCACAAATGAATGTGCCTCTCCCTGAGGCATTTCAGGGTGATGATCCCAACATTCACTGCCAAGCGAATCGATACTGCGTGTGCTGGCTTGGCTAAAAGGCACTTGTTGGCGAATGATCTGGGATTGCACATAAATGTCTTTCCTAGAAGCAAAAGCTGCTTTCAGTTCTGTGCAATCTAGAGGAAATCTGGAAGTCAGTGTGACAAAATCTATCGGGAAACAACTTACATTGCAACTACCTGTTCCCAGCTGGCATCAAGACTCCTTGGATTGCTAACCACTTCCTCAGCATTAAATCTAAATCTGGCAGGTCTGTCAAGCAGAGCGAAGCAAACGTAGCACAGACAGTCTCTCTCCTTCCCTTTACGCACACCAGAGCTGCAAAGTTTTGCCTGACCTTATTTCATTTACTTGACTACATGTCACAAAACACCACAGATTCCACAGAACAACACCTAGGTGAACAGGATGAGCAGAAGCCTCAAGCCAGGCTCATGGGAAGTACAGTAAAGGCAACGAAAGGCTGTGCCTGGCACTCAGCTGAGGGGCGCAGCATGTGCAACATGCTGTGCTTAGGGAGAACTGGAGCAAGAGGGAGGACAGATGGCTGGCTCACAGGAGCTGGATGGAGAGCACCGTTACTGACACAGACCCTAACAGCACTCTGAAACCAGCAGCAACCACTAGCAGTGTTTGAAACAGATTCAAATCCTGCACAACACTTTTTTTCATCTTAATAAATGCCCTTGGGTTTGCCTGTCTTTGCATGTCTTACAGGGGTAAGAACCAATGAAAGAATCTCATACAAGGCAACTAGATGTGATGAAGAGGAAGAGCAAAAGCAATTGCTCATGGTTTCTGAGATGAGTGAGAGCTGCTCTTCTATACCTACCTTGTGCAATCTCCTCTGGTGCCACCCTAAAACAATAATTTCATTCCATCTAGGCTTCCTTTCTTGTGCTTTCTTCTGATATTTGAACCACCCTTACACACTTTAAATAATAAACACAACCTCTTTTAGAATAGTTTTAATGAAGTAATATCAGTTACCCATATTAAAAAGTACACCAAAAAAAGGTCGGAACATTTACATTATTTTCAAATATTTAAGAGAGAACACCAGACATTAAAAATGAATGATACTTATTAAGCAACCTCCATGTAAAAATTGAGTTGTTTTCTTGACAAGTTCTATTCCCCTGGCCCGTCAACATCTGAAATACGGCTGCATTACAGTAAAATCTAGCAGCCTAATTATCACATGTTGCAAAGGGCCTCTGTGCTTGAAATGTAACTTTAGCATTTTCCTAATGGTGTCACAGTAACTGTTCTTACCAATAACCTTAAGCTGAAAGGTTTTTCTAAGAATTACTTTTTTTTTTTTTTTTTTTAATTCTCTCCAACAGGTTGAAAAGCTCTTATTTTAATTTCAGAATGCTGTTTTACTTACCTAGGTCAATAAGTATTGCATGTTGCTGGGAAGTTAGTTGTTTCAGGAGCTCTTTATACGGAGTGTCCTTTGGTGGTTGTTTGCATGGAAACTGGTGTTTAAGATGGTATTGCTCCGCTAAAAACTTCCAAATCTCTCCACGGTGGTGACGAGGTACACCTGAGAGAGAAGACAGTCATTAAAATAGTAATTCCCACTCACACTAACGGTCCAGCTCCAATCCAAGGCAACAACACTGAGGAAGTCGCAGAACTACCTAGCTGATAGGGCTGGCACGGATCTCCTGCACCACAGAGGCAGACCAAACCACACGGCTTGTACTCTTTAGAACCATGAAAGACGTGGGCATTTTAATAGGAGATTTAAAGGTGGGAACAAGGCGAGCTGCCCAAATGTAAGGCCAGCACTTCACATCCACTCCCGGAGGTTGCAGGAAGGCAGAAGAAGTGTTAATACTTGTCTCTGAAATGCTTTTCTCTCAACTTTCCATGCCAACATACATAATAAAGCACTGTAACAGAACGAACTGCTCACATAGCGCAGTGCCTGGTGTCAGAAGTAAATTGCAAGCTGGATTCGGCGTGTCAGCAGTATAAGCAAGGGTAAGGAATGACCCAGGGACTACACCGAACAGCAGCTACTTGTTGCTACTGGCTTGCTGAAGGACTGGCACAAGTGTTTGGAAGTTTGAAATTTCTTCTCTTTATGAAGGGATGAAGCTATTTAACTACTTCACATATGCATGAGAAGCCTTCATTTGTATCTGGAAGTTTCACATAAAGAAAAGATAATTGTTACACACCTACTGCATTCAGCATAAGATGAGCAATTATGTATCAACTATATAAGAAAAAAAACAATACACTAATTTATGGCAAAGTTTTGTCTGGTCATCACTTTAATGGAATCACATATCCACATCTGAAACAATTTAAGGCTTAAAGTCTCTTCGGCACGGTTGTTTCTTTGGTATTTAACATACAGATAACTACAATAACAAAGGAAATAAGAATCAGTTCAAGCATACAACTTATATGGACAATTTTGCCATTGTACAAAAGCAAATTAATCTATTTCTAAAATTTATTTACTTATTTTTACTAGCCTATCAATCTATAGACAACTGCTTTAAAATCAAATGTCAGCAGAAATATTTGATATTTAAATCCAAACCACAAGTGTATCTACAGAATGTTTCTGCAAATTACTTTAGGCAGTTTAAACTTGATTACTTAAAAGTCGCCAACATGAAACAACGAGAAAAAGAGCTGCTTTAGCAACCAAATGACCCGGGTTCTTGTCTTCAGTTACATTTCAAAAAATCCTTTAGTTTCTGTGAGGTTCAATGTGCAATGTAGGGTAAAATTTGCCTAAAAATGCATATTTATAGCTGCGAATCTACGAACCAAAGTCCTTTTCATGGAAATGGTCCCATATTAAGTTCATCTGTGTATGCTGCACTGCATGTGCGATAAGAATATTTAGTTTACTATTTCTTATATAAAAATAGACATTTCTGGCTAATTTGCCTTGCTTATTCTTATTTTTATGGTTTCCTATCTATTTAGGAACTGCAAAAATTTAACTGCACTTTTCATTTCCATAGATATGAAATTTGGCACCACTTCACTCTAAGAATTCTGGTTTGCCACAACTGGTCTGTATAGAGACCTATTAATAACATCAAGAGCTATGAAATATTCCCCTAATCACTGGCTACTTGTGTTTATTATTAGTAATTCATTAGTGGGGAATTCTGGCGTTACTCCAAGTCCTTAAACTTCTATTTTGAACTCCAAAGCAGGCCAACATCACCAGACTATCAGCAAAACAACATTTTTTCTTGTGTTCAGATACGGACTGGACAGAGCCCTCTATCCCCATAAAGCAAGAAAGCTCATTGCCACACGTTCTCCTTACCCTGCAGACATTTGTGGTTAGGTCACCTGGTACTGCCTGCCTAGTCTTCATAAATAGTCAGCTTAGGGTAACTTATTGGATGATAAAGTACAGGCAGGCTCATTATTTAACATACTAGATAATTGCTGGTTGTGAATTCTTCCTCGCTCCCTTACACATTTGCTTTGCATAAAGCTAGAAAATCTCCTTGGAATGGCCACCTTTGCTACTTGCTATATCCAGCAGTTACTTTGGTATGAGGACTTTGAATCCAGCCATGTCACAAGTAACTTGGAGCAATAATTACTCAGAAAAAGTAGAAAACATCTTCAGGTTATGTTACTTTTGATGCAGTGGGCAGAGGAGTTGGTCAGTCTTTCACAAAACAGTGGGACTGTCAGTGGTATTTGCAAGCACGTGCTTTGCTCCCTTCAGGAAAAAGTGGTTCCATGAATATATCCATGCCCACTGTTTGTATATACATGTACTAAATAAGCTAGAACAGAATATTCAGATACCAGTGTAGACCATTTCTCTGGTTCTCTATGTGGTTCTATTCAAATAAATTTTAATTTATACAAAATAAGTTGCAACAATTTAAATGCTTCAACTGTTCACTCTCCTGTAAGAAGTTTCATTCACAGATGACATTAGCCTCTTCTGAAATGGACTGTGACTTGAACAGGTGTAATCATGAAGATAAATGACTTGTTCACTTAGCAAGCTGAGAAACACTTCTAGCAATAAGATGGTCAATAAGGAGTGATTAAGAAATCACCCGCTTCCTTTTCTAATAAAATTTACATGTATTTCAACACCTCAAAATAACAAGCTATGCTTACCTTGCCCAACAGCAGAATGTATTTTTTCCGCATCAAATTTAATCTTTGACCTTCCAGGTGTACTCAACATTTTTTCCCAAATCAAAGTTACATCTTTTAAGCAGGGTGTGATTTCTTCATAGTCAAGTTTCAGACGTCTGTTCTGCAAATTGTTTTCTGAGGCTAGGAAATGATATCATGAACGCATCAGTTAATATTGTTTAATATTTACAAAATGGATTCATTTCTAACTTAGAATTTCATCATGTAAAAAGTCAGCCTGCAAGACGCCCCAAGCTGAAGCCTACAATTCTGATACTTTAAATGTTTAAATTGTGTGTTTTTTCCTAAAGATATTCTAAAAATATTAACTGTGAGTGGCCTGTTTAAGTACCGTATAGTAAGTTAAAATTTATAAAAAGTATGATTTTCTTAACAGTATTTCCCACTTGATAAAGTCATAGAAAAATTACTGCACAGAAGCTCTGAATCAAACAAAAATATAGAAATAATGGGATTACTTGTTTATTACGCATACAGCTCAGTATAATTTTAGTAATACAAAATAAAAAGGTTACTTTAAAAGGAACCATTCATTTGTCCGCTTTTATAGCCAAAGGGAAAGCTCAAAGAGAAAAATGGAAAATTCAAAAGAGACTGCAGAAACTTTAAGAATTCTGATCACAATTATATAATATAAACCAGTATTTGATCTTGCTCATTTTAAACCCTCCGACTAATACAAAACAAAACCGTATTGGGAATTACAACTGTTACTGAAGCTTGACTACTTGCATGCAGACATCAGAATAGAAAGTAACCTAATTGTATTGCTAAGTAAGCAGCAATTCCCCCTTCCTATCTGAAGGATAGGAAGGTTTTCTCCTTTTGACCCAGATGCTCAGCCCAAGCTTAAAAAACAGGATTTCACATTCGGTGTACCAACTTTTCCACACCCCCATTCACACAGCTCTACACAGCTGTTCTTCCAGGAAGACAATCCTCCCAGGAAGACCACCCTTTCTGCAGGTTACACAAAGGCAAGGAGGAATTTCCATTCTCACGCCAGGTACTCTGAGAAACCATGATGATTATTGAAGGCTTCAATCCCAAGGAAAATCAATATCCCAGGAAACAGCCCATCATAACAAAATCATCATTAACTGTTGGATATAGAATTATTTATTTTGGAGAAAAGCAGAATCTTTTCTAGGAACAGTACTAGGAACTACTAGGGAAGATTTTTTTTCTGTTAAAAGGACTGTCCATATAGTTTTATATCAATCAAAATCAAGTATATGTTGCAGTATATGAAAACTTCTTTGGAAATGAAAGTGATGTAAATACAGAGCAAAAAAAGACATTGACAAAAAAGGAGAGGAATAAACACAGTTTATTTTCAGGGAAATAGCAGTTAGAAATGAAAAATGAGATTTATTAGCATTTGTAGAGAAAATTTAGAAGTGCTAATGACAAGTATAAGGTTTAAAAATAAAGCTGAAGAGAAATGCGACTGCGTTACTGTCCCCTGATCCAAGTCATTACAAACCTTTCTTGCATGGTTTTTATGCTACAGCTGGCAGCCTTAGGCTGAAGCCCACAGCCAGCTTCTTAGGACTTCAGCACTGGCTAAACAGACCATTGCAGTGATCTGTAGTTAAGCACTGACTTACAGATGACAATGTAAAAAAGAACTTCATGCAAAATGATAATGCTGAGTTCCTTAGCAGCAGCTCCAGGCACCAGACAAAAACAAAAACCAACAGCAAACAAGCACAGAAAAAAGAGTAGCAATTTTTACCAAGCAAACAAACCACAAGGTGAAGTGCTAATCAAAAATAAACAAACAAAAGCTGTAAATCATTACTTACAACAAGGAGAGTTGACCCACATGCTACTGAGCTTACTTATCTATATGTTCTAAAAGAGGCACGCTTGGTCCTATCCACTGCAAAGGTCACAGAGCAATCCCCAAACTGAACTTGTATGGCAGTAACGTGTAGTCGAGAATTCCACCAACCTTGTAACTTCTGATTTTCCTTCTCCATCCTGAGCAGCAGTATCTGCTGAATAATGGCTTTCTTCCACAGCTCACGGAGCTCCCGAGGTGTTCGTTGCCTCTCTTCTTTCACTGGCCCAAAAGGGCCATCTTCGCACACTGGTTCTAGGGGAGATCTGGGTGGAAGCTCTCCCAACTCAGAGTAATCTTTAAAAGACAGAAGCTGTGATGAACCATTTAAATTTCATGACTAGTTAAATGGACATACCTCCTAAGATCCTTTGACACGTGCATATATTAAAAACAAAGTATGCACCCAACTTCCCTTTACTATAAACACCTGAGTGTTCCCAAGGTTTGTATCTGCATTACAAATCTACAGGCAGGGAGAACAGTGTTAAGTCACACTTCAGCATGAGTTTACCGAAAATATTCTTATTTTTTATAGCACATATATACGTTACTCAAGTATTTATTCTTCCATGCAAAATGTAAATATTCAAATGTAAATGCGGGCTACAATTGCTCTTCAAGATTTCTTCCAAAGATCACATTTCATTCAGAACGAAACTAAGTTATCCAGAGTTTTTATTTTCAAATTCAGACCTAGCCATTTTACGTTCAGCTGGAAAAACACTTGTCTTGTGAACAAACGAACCTTGCATACTCAAGAGTCTTCTCTTATCATCATGTCAATTAAAAATCCTGCCAGTACATCTCCTCTTTGGTCAAGCCAACTTAGATTCTGATACTGAAACTGTGACATTCTTCTATGTCCTCAGATTACAGGTTATTCAAAAATCCAAATGCTATAACATTCCTTCATGTGTGTGCATGTATATGTGTATATATGTAAATATATATTTTACTATAGATATATCATGTGCTTACATTATATATATATGCATGCACACATTAATTGCACATATATATATTAAAATGCATACACAGAGAGGTCATCCTGCAGTGAACTCTGTCTGGATTAGAACCTATGCTAATTTTGCCTAAAATCAATCTATATTCAGCAATTACGCACATGAGATAAAAACCTACAGCTAACATCTCCTGAAAATCCCGTCTGTGAAGTACTGAACAGGGAGCTAGTGTCCGTTTCCCTAAGTTTGTGGCAGTAAGGGCCCCAACGCCACACAACGCCCCTTCCTGACACCCTCTGCAGGCAGCCGTGGCGCTTCTCCTCCTCCTTCCCACCATCCCCTCAGCCCGCTCCTGACAAGCCACCAGTAAACCAGGCTGCCACACGCACTTCTCAAAGGGCAGATGCAGTGGGAACACGCTCAGGCCAGCCCTCTCGTCCAGGCTTTCCTGCCTGGACATCTCGGGAATGCTGAGAGGGCACTGCAGGACTGCAGGGCTCCCTTCCGCGTGCTGAGCCCTTCGAAAGATGCTGGCCACTGTGGGGATAGACGTTTGGAGCTCACAGAGAATGAAGTCCTTGCAACTTGATGGGGTAAAAACAAAAAAGGCTGTATGGAAAGGACATGCTTATGTTTGTTCTCCTGGGAACAGTGAAGAAGATCAAATGAGACAGCTCCAGCTCTAATCCTAATTCTCATTCTCAAGTCTAGCTGACTGGTGCTCAGTTCAGAGGCTGGTGAGAAGAGAGAGGCCAAGGTGGCCACACGCTGCTCCACAGGCCGGGACAGGGCTGTGCATGGGCTCTGCAACGGCTCCGCAGGAGACCCTCAGCCAGACACAGGGAGCTCCGGCGCTTCCGCCCCTCACAAGGGCTCGGCTTCAGGCAGCAGCAAACCAAGGCTTCCCAAACACCAGTTTCAAGCAGATTTACAGCCCTTTTTGGAACAAGAGTCTAAACTATATTGTAAAGCCCAAACCATTTTTTCCCCTCTAATCTGATAAAAACATTCTACTACACATCAAAGTCAGAGCGTGCTAGCTGCAGCTTCAAGAGGAAACAAGTAAAAAGAAATTGGCAAATTTGAGAAATTTCAACTGTAGTCATATTTCTGTAACATAGCATGTTTCAGATAGCAGATCAAATCAAATACAGCACCCACAGAGTTAAAAAAATAAAAAAATAAAAAAAACAAGAAGGGAAAAAACCCCAACCTAACCTGCATTTGACAAAGGAAACACACACCCTTAGCTGCACAAACACACCACCAGCTAAGGCCATACAATGGGATGACTACCAGTTCGTACAGCAAATATTCACAAAGGGAGACAGGAACCTAAGACATGTTTGCTCCCACTTTTAGTTTTTAATGTCATAACAAGGTATGATTTACCCTTGTCTTGGGCTTCTGCTGGTCTAACACAGAACGTGCTTCTTGTCAAGCATGCAAAGAATCATAAAAGACTGAAAACATTACAAAAGAAAGGCTGTTAAATTAAAACATTAAATATATCTCATGCAAACTAAAGACTTTTTTTCCTTATTGGGA